AGCTTTTACCCTTCCCAGGAAATCACCTCTTCCAGTTATTTCAGGTTTGCCTTCATTTCTACCAAGGCCACGTGGTCACTTAGTCACAAATCTGCCCGTGGGGGGAAAAAAAAAACAACAGTAAGGAGCGTTTTTACTGACTCCAGCTTTGGAGAAGGCTGGCAGAGCACTGTGCTCTCTGCACAAAGGCACTGACACACTCAGTGACACCCGCACAAAGGGCACGTCTGGCTCCGGTCCCCCTCCTTATCACAGCTCCAGCTGGGGCCACCGCAGGCTCCTTGCACCCAGAGGCTCCTCAGGCTGCTTGGATACGGAGCAAGCAGAGCCAGCCCTTCAGACAGTGAGGGAAAGGGTTTGGCTGCCTTTTTGGGAGGAATTAGGAGGTCACCTACCCAGGAAGGAGGAGCCGCCGCGTTCATCAGTGAAGGTGAAAGCATCTCAGATGGCAAGCTCTTTCCTCCCCATGCTTCTGCTCTCCAGACTAGGGGGAAGGATGCCAGGAATTCACAGCTGTCTCACCCAAAACTGCTTGCTCACTTCAATGCTTCGAGAACTTTCCTACATGAACCACTTCTGAGATTATTTTTTTTAAAAAAACCCAACAGAACAGAAGAATAAAGAGAGAATTTGGACACCATTTCCTGACCTTGGCAGCATTGCTCAGGGCGCAGATCACACCTTTAGTTCAGATAACTGCATGTTCACCAGGTCTCACCAGACCTCAGCTCGGAGCCCCTCACCGGGAGCAGGACCGTCCTGCTTGGCAGAACCTGCCAGGAAAGAGGCTTAAAAACCACAAGATGGTCAAAAATCTCAGCAATGAGCGAGTGTTTACTAAGAGCGAGGTGGGTACATGAGGTGTCCCTTGCTCACTGGTGATGGGGCAAATTAATTGCTACCTGAATTGCTGCAAAGCAACAGCAGCTTGGGTTTCCTGCTCTGAAAGGGATACCAGGACCAGGGTGAGGGCCACCAGCTGCGACCATTTTCCCAGGTGACATCACTGCTAAACCCTTAGGTTTTTCTTTAATAGCAAAAGAATCTCTCTTGTTTGTCCCTGCAGTCTGGGACTATTTTTAACACTGCTAATGAGTGGCTAAAATGGGGTGGAGTGGCAAAGGCAGCTACGCTGCTCCCAGCCACCCACCAGCTTTATCTGACCATCAGAGGAGGAGCTGGACCAGGGCCACCCCGTGTGAGAAGGCAGGGAAGAAAATATCGGTGTCCCCAGAGGTGCAACGTGTACAACGGTTCCTGCAGCTTATAAAAAAAAAAATAAAACAAACCAAAAAAGCCCCCGACTCCTCACAGGGCACAAATGTCAAACACTTGAGTGTTTTTCTCAGTGTGAATCTCCGCACAGCGCTCACAGAGCACGTGTTTTGCATCTCACCTGCCCATCAGAAGAAGACGGGAGAAAAACCATCCTTGCAATGAAGATATTCCTGCACCAGAGCTTTAGAAACGGCACCCAAAGGAAGGCAAAGAGCATTTTCTCCCCAGGCGCAGTAAATAACCCGAAAATGTAACACCACGTTGGTCCTTGTGTGCTTCGGAGCGGTCTCTGCAGAGGTGTGATGGTGCTGGAGGAGTCGGAAGCTGTTGAAAGGGGTCCATCCCGCATCCCTTCCCACCCCCCCGCCCCCAGCACCCCCGTGATTGACTGCATTCAGGGGAGGAACCCAAAATAACCGTGGGCAGTACCAGCTGGCAGCTGCTGAATGCAGCACGGGCCCTGCCAAGGCCTTCCCAGCCAGGGAGCGCAGGAGCTGCATGGGAATGGAGAGGCCGGCATCGGAGCGTGACGGCAGCACGGGAGCATCAGAATCACAGAATCTTCTAGGTTGGAAGGGACCTTAAAGATCATCTTGTCCAACCGTCAACCTAACTGACAAAAATAGGCACCCGCACAACAAACAAGGAGCATCATCACTAAACCATCCCTCCAGCACTACATCAACCCGTCTTTTGAACACCTCCAGGGATGGGGCCTCAACCCCCTCCCTGGGCAGCCCAGTCCAATGGCTGAGAACCCTTTCAGTGAAAAAATTTTTCCTAATATCCAGCCTGAACCTCCCCTGGCGCAACTTGAGGCCATTTCCTCTTGTCTGTCACCTGTGACTTGAGAAAAGAGACCGACCCCCACCTCTCTACACCCTCCTTTCAGGGAGTTGTAGAGAGCAATAAGGTCTCCCCTCAGCCTCCTCTTCTCCAGGCTGAATAACCCCAGCTCCCTCAGCCTCTCCTCATAAGACTTATTCTCCAGACCCCTCACCAGCTTTGTCGCCCTTAACAGCGACCTGAACCAGGACAGCAAGAAACACTCCACTCCAGACAAACAATACTGTAGAGGAATATGTACATATTTTTTTTTTATATATATATTATATATAAAGGCCTACCTAATGTAGGGAACTGCCATGCAATGTTCACCCCTCTGTTCACACAAAGGCAAATTGCACCGAAGGGTTAACTATGTTTATTGCAGAAGGAAAGTAAGACACCCACAAACCCCAGGCAGGCTCTGGTGCCTGTTGTTGGGCTGGTATGAGACACAACGCTGGAGCAGCAGAGCCTCTGTCCCCTCCATCATCCTTCTGCCAGCCAGGGAGCAGAGCTCACACCCCTGTGCCCAGCGCAGAGCCAGGCCACCAGGATCTGGGATAAGACACCAGCCCTTGGGCTTCCCAGGCACTTGCTCCCTTTCCCCAGGTGGGATAGAATCATAGAATCATCTAGTTGGAAGGGACCTTCAAGATCAGCTAGTCCAACCATCAACGTAGCAAAAACATCACTAAACCATGTCCCCCAGCGCCATGTCAACCCGTCTTTTGAACACCTCCAGGGATGGTGCCTCAACCATCCTCAACCAACCTCCCTGGACAGCCCATTCCAAGGCTTAATAACCCTTTTTGTGTAAAAATTGTTCCTAATATCCAATCTGAACCTCCTCTGGTGCAACTTGAGGCCATTTCCTCTTCTCCTATCTCCTGTTCCTTGGGAGAAGAGTCCGACCCCCCCTGGCTACACCCTCCTTTCAGGGAGTTGGAGAGAGCGAGAAGGTCTCCCCTCAGCCTCCTCTTCTCCAGGCTGAACACCCCCAGCTCCCTCAGCCTCTCCTCATAAGACTTATTCTCCAGACCCCTCACCAGCTCCATTACCCTTCTCTGGACCCGCTCCAGCACCTCAATGTCATTTTTGTGGTAAAAGGGATGGGGAGGACATGGTGTTGCCAAACCTTACAGCAGCTCAATCTGTTACCCTGTCAAGGCAGTTGCACCCCATGTCCTTGCATTAAATGACATGCATTTGAAAAGGGATGGGGAGGACACGGTGTTGCCAAGCCTTACAGCAGCTCAACCTGTTACCCTGTCAAGGCGGTTGCACCCCGTGTCCTTGCATTAAATGACATGCATTTGAAAATACGGATTTTTTTTTTACCCCCCGCACTGTCCCACCCCTCGTGGTTGATTCCCCAGAAACAGGGGGTTTATAAGGCACCTTCGGTATTCCCAGCTGTGACATGCACAGCACCAAACTGTTCCAAGCAGCACTACATTTTAAGAGCAGTTAAATATACTGCTACATGTCTTTTCTGACCTTAGACAGAAATTATTTAAGCATTTTTTTTTTGGGAGGGATGGCAGAGGGAGACAAAAATAATATTTCGCTATTTTGAAGCAATAACAAGGATTTTTTACCCCCTGCACTGTCCCACCCCTCGTGGTTGATTCCCCAGAAACAGGGGGTTTATAAGGCACCTTCGGTATTCCCAGCTGTGACATGCACAGCACCAAACTGTTCCAAGCAGCACTACATTTTAACAGCAGTTAAATATACTACATGTTTTTTCTGACCTTAGAGAGAAATTATTTAAGCATTTTCTTTCAGGAGGGATGGCAGAGGGAGATGAAAATAATATTTCGCTATTTTGAAGCAATAACTTCACTGGAATTACAGCACACACTGGTAAGACAGAGGAAATACAACTTGGAAATCTTTGCTTTGGCCCACCACAAAGCCTTAAAAATCAGGGGAATTAAGTGACTTGGCATGACAAAAGAAAACTACTTGGATAGATATTCCTAAACTTGAAGGAGAAGGCAGGCAGCTTTGTAGAAATATTAAAAATGAGTAATTTTTCATTGCTCATCTATAGGGAGGGAGGATGTTGACCTACCTTTTATTAATTCAGTTAAAATAATTCCCCTTGCACGTGGATCTCAGGCTGGTCTAGCTCACGTTGATGCTAAAGCAAACTTGCACATTCCAAACTGGGATTTTTTTAATTTTTCTTTTTAGGTCAGTACCATAAACATCTAAAGCTGCTGAATTCAAAATTATTCATAAAATTACAGAAGGTGTTACAACTGGAGTAAACTAGTGGCAGCACAGATACCTGGTGTAAAGAGAGCCACAAACACTGCCAGCAGTTTCTCCTACAAAATTACAAGCTCCAGGAGCTCAAAAGTCAAATTTCCTTCAGCAACTGTGTCGAGCTGCCAGAAAAAGTTAATCGTGCTCCTTTATATTAAATTAATGAACAGCTAATGAAGAAAGAAAACACAACCCCAAATCTTCTTTATCCTTAGGACTGAGAATAAAAGCTTGAGGAGTCTCTCTTACTGCAGGGATTACGCACACACCTCTCAACACCAGTCACGTGAGGTTTTATACTCACAGGAGCTTCAGGAAATGTATTTGCCCAGGGTGAGTGGTGAAGCTGGGGGGATCTGAGAGCACAGTACCAGTGCACGGCTCACAGCCACCGTTTCTGCTGCAGGGGGGACCATCCAGACCTTCCCCCCCATCCGGCCGCTCCGAGGTCTGTGGGGTGCAGCTGCCATGGAGGGACTGGCTTGTCCTTCTTCAGGTGGCCAAGCCCTTCAAGCTCAAGAATTTAAAATTCAGCCCCACAGGGTTTATTTAGAAAAAAACCACAACCTTTTACGCCTGCAGAAAGGCTGGGAAAACAGACCATTCCCACCTCCAGCTTCCCGCTCAATGGTATTTTAATTGCATCCAACGAGGATGCAGATTTCCTCCCAGTTCTAGCGTTAATTCACTGTTTTCTAAAAGATGATTATACATTATGAGAGGGCAAAACAGACTTCAGGCATATGCATATTATATGGCTTCTGAAGAACATCCCTGTGAATTGCAATGGTTACAAATCATTGTGCTTCCAAAACATAAATATTATAATGTGCTTCACTGACCTGTGGCTGTTTTGAAGGCTGTTGCCTGTGGTCTAAGACTATTTTAAAGGATATGGAGGTATGAAATCGAGCTAAGGAGCTGCAGCACTGAATTTCTGCTAACTGCAGCCCTGTGCTTATCAGTTATCACCTGCATCGACGAGAATTGTGCTTCTTATCAAGAGATGGTAAATGAATAAACACAGAAAGATTACGAGGTGCCAACTCCTTTCAAGGGGGCTACACGAAAAGCCTTATGTTGACAACATTTCTTCACAACAAACATACTGTCAGGTTTAATCCCACAGCTATCAGAAATTATTTACTGAATAGCAAAAGATGATTTTTCATTCCCCACATAGCAAATAGTACATGTATTCTTCCAGCTGAGAGGAAAAGCACAGAATATCCGCAGTTTGTATCTTCTTGATTCACAGTCGCAAATAAAACAAGTTCACAGGGGGAACTTTCTCTTTCAGAAAAAAGTGGAAAACATTCGGTTGCTAAAAGTACAAATCTCGTCTTCTGTCATGGATCTGAATACCTGAAAGACACAGCAGTATCAGGATGGTCAAACAGCACAGTCCGTGCAATCTCTTAAGACGTTGTGCAAACAAAATTCCACCTTTGGCTCTGATGCAAGAGGGCCCTTAACCAGAATAACCAGAATGACCCATTCCAAAGTATCCCCAAAATATTGCACATCAAAGAACCGACAGCAGGGCCTGACGCAGCCTCAAGAGACTAACAAAAATATGGAAGCCTGAATGCTTTGGGAATAATTTCTTGGAACGACTCAGCCAGCAGTGTGGTGGGATTGCTGGGGAGAGCAGCAGTAACACCAGCACACAGGTCCCACGGGGACCTCAGCCCAAAGCTGGGTGGCTTGAGGTACAAAGCAAGGGGGGTCCTGTCTTTCCAGGATCTGAAACTTCCCAAAATAGCCATTGGGAACCGGGAGGTCGATGGTGTAACCACAAAAACTGAGGTATATGATTTTTCTCACTCCATCTATCTCATTTTAGTAGAATGCTTTCCCCCTTCTCCATTAATGGGAGGTAGCGTGTACATGTGGGGGAAAAGCAAACTTTTGAAGTACGGTCTGGAAGCAAACAAAGAAGCATCTTTTAATTCTCTGTGCACAAACAAGGCAGCTATCCTTCATAGGATGGAGTGAGAAAAATCATATATCTCATTTTAGTGGAATGCTTTCCCCCTTCTCCATCAATGGGAGGCAGCGTGTACATCTGGGGGAAAAGCAAGCTTTTGAAGTAGGGTCTGGAAGCAAACGAAGCATCTTTTAATTCTGTGTGCACAAACAAGGCAGCTATCCTTCATAGGGAAGGATTAATTTGGTCCAGACCTGCTGGTTTTATTACTCACCTGCAGTGGCATGGCTTACGCTGGGATTTTCTGAGCCTTGGTAGGAGCTTGCTTTCCTCTCTTAAAAGAAAAAAAAATAATAAAAAAAATACTGGAGATGAGCAGAGATTCAACATGAAGCTAAAAGTAGGCAGTAGTTCCTAAAGAAACCTTGTGCTTTTGCAGCCCAGCTTATAGCACAGGTGCTGGGGAGCTCTGTGCTGTCTGGCACAGCAATATACACTTCCATAAATATAAATATCAGCTGTTCTTAAACATGACACAGCGCAACAAGAAGTATATTTAACAGCTAGAGCCAAGAAACAGGGACTCCCACAGCCAGACTAGATGCACACATCCTAGGGACTTGCCAAAGGCTCCTTGTGAACATGGGCCAGTCACTGCTTATCTCTTCTTTTTGGGTTGCTCGATAAGCACACGCACAGTGTCACACGTGGGGCGTTAGGAGGCTCCCCAAATATTCAGAGGGGCCCTGTAAACATCCTGAAAGAACAGGCTTTAATTGGCCGTGGTTGGGGAACACCGAGCTCTTTATTTTCCTCTGCAATTTTCCCCCAGTCGTTTTCTTTCTGCAAATTTGAACAGAAGTCCCCTGTCGTTGGAACTGCTTCCCCTTTTTCGACCCCAAGGCTAGTTTCATGAAACATCTCCTTTTTTGGAGGAGTCGGTTCCTTGGGCTCCCAAGCCTTGACAGGCTGACATTGCCCCCTTGGGGGAAGAGGGCACCTAACCTTGTTCTTAAATTAAATCCTGGAAGCCCAGATAGAGTGTTTTTAAAGTAATCAGGCTGTTGTTTACTAGCTGCAAAAAGTCTAGAGTGCAACACATACATTCATACAGGCTCAGCAGGAAACACTCAAGCAGGAAAAAGTTAGCAAAACCCCTACAGTTGGGGTCCTCATAACCACATAGCTTTTGGTGCAGCCTGAAAAGAGGATGAGGCTACCCGCAGATATAAACAGTAGTTTATAAACAGCAGTTTTAAGCCCACGTTCTGCCAAATTCCTGCTGACGCAGATTAAAATCTGGGTAAGCAGTAGGTTTCACCCATTTCACAGCTGGTTATTTTTGAAGACCCAAGGTTCAGGATCGCTTCTCCATGTGCTTGGTCCTTCATATCTAGAAGCACCAGGTAGGAAGCGCTATATTTTTCCAGCAGACTCCCAAAACAATTTCACAACCCATTTTTCTTGGAGGCCAGTGCCAAGGTGAGGATCTGGGTGACGCCAAGGGACAGCAATGTGGGCGTACCCTAAGAGGGCACCAGGGCTCTGGCCAGGAAGCCTGACCCCACAGAGCTTCTCAAAACCAGTAATTACTCCCTAGGGAGCAATTTTATCCGGCAGACCTAGATGCTGTGGGGACATCAACTCCCGGGAAATGGACTTCAGTCACCAGCCATTGTTCTTCTGTGTGCTGGCAGTACACAGGGCTGGGATTCCTACTAATTGTTAATAATAAACAAGCAACAATCATCAATCATCGCTCCTGCATGAAGGGTGTCAGCTCTGGGCAACCTCCTGCAGAGAACAATCGCTGCCTTTGACACAACAGGCAGCAGTGCTTCGTGGAAGGCAGCAATTAGTGGGGAGACAAGGCAATATTGACCTGTCAGCCCCTTTCGCCCAGTCCTTCCAGCTACAGAGAGAGACTGGGGAGGAAGAGAAATCCCTGGTCTTTCTGGTAAGGGCTGTAGTTTCCCATTCTGTATTCAAAATACTGTTAAGGCCCTACACAGTAAGAGAGGTCACTCTTTCTGGTCATAATCATAGAATCATAGAATGGTTTTGGGTTGGAAGGGACCTTAAAGATCATCCAGTTCCACCCCCCTGCCCTGGGCAGGGACACCTCCCACCAGACCAGGTTGCTCCAAGCCCCATCCAGCCTGGCCTTGAGCCCCTCCAGGGATGGGGCAGCCACAGCTTCTCTGGGCAACCTGGGCCGGGCTCTCATCACCCTCACAGCAAAGAAGTTCTTCCTGAGTTTTCATCTCAATCTCCCCTCTTCCAGTGTCAAACCCTTCCCCCTTGTCCTATGGCTCCCCTCCCTGATCCAAAATCCCCCCCTATCTCTCCTGGAGTCCCTTGAGGGACTGGAAGGGGCTCTAAGGTCTCCCTGGAACCTTCTCTTCTCCAGGTTGAACAATCCCAACTCTCTCAGCCTGTCCTCACAGCATAGGGGCTCTAGTAATAACACAGAAGCATCTACCCTAGCTACTACCTATAGGGTAGAGGTCCTGATGTCACTGTGGGTAATGTTTATATTCATTTGAAATATCCCCCTAGCGTCAGCCAGAAGGTGAAATATTGTGCAAGTGGCACACATATTTTTGATTAAGCCATAGTAGACAGCGAACCAACCCCAAGTACCACCGCGTGGGTTCACCCTCGAAAAACATCTCTACGAGCTGGGCTGAAGATGGCTCCAATTCAAGAACCTTAGGAACAGACTGTATTATTTTGTCTCTTTACATAAGATGCCACCAAAGGATAAAGTGATAGTAAATATTTCCTTACCTCCCCCAGGAGCTGAACTCTGACTTATATTTTGTAACCTAGCAGGTCCAGTCATACAAGCAGAACTCGAGTGTTGCTTCACGCCGCATTCTTGCATGGATGTCAGGCACCTTTCCTGTTGCAGGAGACCAAGAAGAGAACCGTATTTCCTGTCAGAGACGGGTTCATCTACCGCGTGCAGGTCGGGCAAGGCATGATGATAGACTGAACTGGTAAGACCGGGAGTCCCGATGGAAGGGAAAGGCCATAAATCTGCCGGCTGAGTTGGATGACTCCGCAGAGCTGACGGCTGGAACGGGCCCGCCATGCCAGCAGCAGAAAAATTCAGCCCAGAATTTGACATGCTCGGAGCAGAAGATGATGGATATGGTTTGGAGCAATGTGAAGAGATATTCCACTGATGGGGAGACATGCTATCTACTTAAAAAGAGAAAGAAAGCATCTGAAATCTCATCAACTCTTACTTCTTTTTTTTTTTTCCCCCAATGGACTTCTAAGGTAATGCTACTGGATTGCACACTCATTTTTAAAGACATACATACTCACTTTGGTGCTGCCTATTTTAAAAATCAACAACAAATTCTTACTAAGAGTGGAATACACCACCACCAACACTTTCAAGTAAATATTATACATGTTATTTTACAGGTCACTAGCACAGGCAGGATTTTAACAATTGTAAGCTCAGACAAATATATTTTTGCAAAGACAATAAATTAAATCACAATGCACTTAATGCATCTGACAGTGATGGAGGCTCTTGGCTGGAAAGTGAGGACCTGGTCTTGCCAACAGGCCCATGGAGAGCTTTGGAAGAACCCCAGCAAGCACAGGGGATTTACCCAGGAAGTCTCAGCTACATTATCCAGGGCTTTGAAACGTGATTTTCTTGCTTTCTGTTTGCACACAATATTAAATCTAAGCACACTGCATCTTAAATTCCTTAGTGAAAGCTGGTGACCCCTGTCTAACACCACGCTCACGCACAGAAAGCCGCTCACCGTTCTTCAGGACAAGGGTCTCACCCTTGTGCTTTGTGCTCAGGTCTTGTGGGTTCTTGGCATTGCTTAGAGCTCTAGAAAAATGTTCGTCTACCACGCTGTTAATATCCCCTTGGAAATAGGTAAATACAACACTCTGAGACCCCCATTCTGTTTTCACAGGTTCTTTGCTTTTACACAGCTTTGGAGAGAGCTTCCTTGTTTCTTCCATTTTCAATAACCAACAGCCCCTGCCAAAAAAAGACAGACTGGTCAAAGAAGTACTATTTCACTTAATGTGCACACAGTCTTCCACCTGAAATTGGTATGGCCAGAAGAACTTTATATGGACTTCCGCTTCTTCCATGCACCTTTTCTTTACAGATTTCCTTAGTAGATACTTCTAATATGAAATACTTTATGTATAAAACAAAAAGAGAAACCTTCCAATAAACATGCATTACATTTTTCAGAACTGTGATGGGAATCCATTTCACCCAGTCAGACAAATTGAGTCCTATTTATCTTTAACTCCTTCACAGCAGTATCTTTTGCTTGTGAACACTAAGTTTGATATAACTGTACAATATGCAACATTGACAAGGGGTATTGCATCTTTAAAGTGGTGAATGGCTCAAAGAGGCTCCAATGGACACCAATCTTTTAGGAGTTACCTGTCAATGCCGTAGCACCAGCTCTATTGAAAAATAAAATGGGCACATCTATTTCCCAGCTGTCTTTTCTCATTCTGCCCTCATCCATCTGTATAATCCTGGGCTTAGGACCCAGCAAACATGCCCCAAGGATGGAACTGTGCTAAAGGAACTGAAGCACTTGGATAAATGATTCAGAGGTGGCATTAGCCCTGGATGAAGTTCAGGGTGAACTTATCAAAAGGCTTTGTCCAATTCCAGTTTTCGCATTGTTCAAAACCCACATTGACAGAGTGGAAAAAAAATTAAAGATGGAAAAAGAAACCTCACTGGAACTTAAAATAATAATGACATAAAACAAGGTGAAGTTCAAAGTACCTTAGTCACTGTCAGCACAGACCTCCACAAGGAAAAGACTTCTGAGGGTAATTAGTTGCTTCACCTGTAAGAAAAAGACACACACATTAAGTTATTTGAAATATAAATTCTAGCAAATTCAGATAAAAAACCCCACCAAACAAAAAACCTTCTTTGTTTGAAACAACTTACCTAGGAACGTGGTCAGCCTGCCAGTTGCTTAAAATTTTGGTAGCAAGACTGCTAAACCACACATTGTAGCTCAACCAGAAGGTATGGATTTAAGGCAGGAATTACTCTAAAATAGTTTGCAAGAAGTCACCAGAAGACTGTTAGACTCCTTTTTGTTCTCCTTAAAAATCCCTGCTGCCAGATATGGTAAGAGTAGGACAAGGAACGTCACTGCTTGCCCTGGAGAAGTGTTGTTTTTATGCATTTGTGCCGTTTCTGGCCACAGGGGAGCTGGTTTTACAGCCAGAGCTCACATGTTCTGCTGTAATCAAAATCATATTTAGCAATGCTCAGGCTGTGAATGCAGTGAGAAGGGCCTGCTGGTTCTGTTCAGTTTGCCAGTCTCACAGTCAGCTCACCACACCGTGTAATATAATGGATTTACCTTGGTAGCAAAAAGGCTGCTGTTATTTTTCAGAGACAGGGAAGCCTCCGGCCGATGGCCAGTTGTATCACACAAAACCTAATGAATCATTAGATTTGTGCTTCCATCCAACTAACTCTGCAATACACAGCATTGCTTAACCTATTCCAATACATTTATCTGATTTCTTTTCTAATCATAAACACCCCAATCCTCAGAAGGTTCCCAATAAACATCTGGTGTCTCAAAGGGTATTCTGATGTATCCACAAAGGCTGCCTCCAAATGGTCCCTGTTTCTTACACATGAAAAGACTATTCAGGCTGCAAAGTATTCAGGCATTAAGAAGAAGGGTATTCTGAAGTATCCACAAAGGCCTGTTTCTTACACATGAAAAGACTGTTCAGGCTGCAAAGTATTCAGGCATTAAGAAACATAAGGATTAAGGTCATCCATACATAATTCATCTCCATTCTTAATCCTAAACTGGCATCTACAAACTTCTTGTCTTTGTTTATCATCTGCTTCTACATCTAGTTTTGTTTATTGGCTCTACCTATTTCTCTGTTCAGCTCTTCATGGCTCCTTCTTCAGCTAGCCCTAGCCCCCTGTCATCAACCACCAATGTATGGTCAAACTCAAGAGGTTCCTCATCTTGGGATTTCTATTGCTTTGTCCTCCTTGCATCCTTTCCCCAGCTCCAAGCTTTGGTCCACCTGAACATGGTGGTGGGAATGGGATGTGTACAGGTTGGTGACCAGTTTGGAAATGCAGTGGGATACTCCGTAACAGTCACCTGATTCAGAACATTGTCTGTCAGAACTTTAAACCAACCAAACTTTCCCAAACACAGAAACAAACCAAAAATCCTTCTTCCCACTTCACAGGCACCTTCCCCAAGGCAGATGAGGGGAGCAGGAACGAGCAGATCCCAGCCAAAAAACTAAAAGAACTTCAAGCACAGGAAGAGACACTCTTTTAAGGCAGATGAGGGGAGCAGGAATGAGCAGATCCCACCCAAACTACTAAAAGAACTTCAAGCACAGGAAGAGACACACTTTTTTCCCCACTCTTGTTTCAGAAAGCAACCCACTGGTTAGGTTAAGAAACGTTCTGGAGACCAATGCTTGCCATGAAGATTCCAACCTGGCAGTGAAAGCCTGGCTTTCTCAGTGACCGTATGGCCTGAGAAAGGACTTCATTGGGCCATCTTGACAGCAAGCAGCAAACCAGCTCTTCCTACGCTGCTCCACCACCACGCATTCAACATACAATTTAAAAAGCATTAGCTCTGGCCCAGAGGTCTATTTTTCCTGTTCCTCGCCCAGAGCAAGCCAGCCACCGCGTCTTTGTACCGCTTTATTAACGCGCTTAACTTGCTCGTGATGTTAATTGTAAGCTCCTTTAGCACCCTTTATTGGTCTTGTGTGAACTGTGACCACAGTAGTTAAGATGCTAGAAAAATACCATGTTATTTTAAACAAAGAACAGTCATTTATCTACTTTTTTTCTCATTTCCCTTAAAAAATCTCTTGTGCTTTCCAACAAGTGGCCATAAGAAGGTTGGATATAACCAGGTTACATCTCAGTCCTCTCTGTGATCTTATGCACGTGAGGAACCTCATGTCCCAAGAGTCAGGACTTAAATTTTGGAGGACTGTGGTCTTCATTACCTGAACTTCCCACTCTTCCATCTTCCAGCAGGAAGTCTGCAAAAAAAAAAAAAAAAAAAAAAAAAAGGGAGAAATCCTCCCAATTTGTGTCTGCCACAAGCTCTTGCCAAAATATAGTAGAAGTGGAGCTTGGGATGAAAAGGACTCAGCTCGCCTCACGCTACTCTCACAACGGGTTAATTATGGCAAAATAATGCAAGTAATTGCCTAAGTGATTTGTCCTTCAGGTGGACAAGGACGGATGAGTGGTCAACGCAGGCGTAGGAGACACGGTTGGTGAGGGCTCACCACAAGAGACAATACTTTACAACATTTTTCACATTCCCCAGCCTTGCTAGTAGTATTAATTTCCCATCACTGCAGCATCAGGCAGGGAACTCTGTTCTCTTATTTTATGCAGCCCAAAGAAAGGAAATAAAAATAAATAAAAATTAAAATTTTTCCACTTCCCAGGTATTAGGCAATGACTTAACAAGCAGGCGTTCTCCTTCAACAAGTATCTTTCAAATCAGGGAACGTTTCAGCAAGGCAGTTAGCAAAGGTTGAAATTATCACGGAATTCCCCTACCTTAACTCACTGTCACGAGTGGTGTCACGCCAGCGAGATCCTCCGTGGTCATGCTGTGTCCAGCAGCTCGGGATCCTTCCCTCCTCCTCCTCCTCCCCGTGTGCTCTGCAGCGACTGCAGGAGAGGACAAGCAGCGTTCATGAACTCCCTCCCTGCTTTCTAGCCTCTGGCTGCCGGTGAACTAGGCGTTCCCTTCAGCCCATCTGCTAAGAATGCATGAAATGCACTCCAACAAGTCAACCGGGTTGGGAGGTTTCAGGAATGAGGAAAATAAGACTCTAAGTAGGGTTTGGGTTGGTTTTGTATTTGTTTTTGTTGGTTTTTTTTATAAATGACGATATGTACACAATGAAGACAACAGCATCTGGACTTGGGAAGAGTTTAGAGGAAGATGTATGTACACAATGAAGACAACAGCGTCTGGACTTGGGAAGAGTTTAGAGGAAGATGATAAACAAGTTATGGCAGAGAACCAAGCTCGGCCAGGATCACAAAGGATGTCCCTACGTCAGGTTATAGCAGTTTCAGCACTAAGTGGATGTTTCCAGTTACCCACCAAAAGGAAAAGATCACCTGTTTCCAGCCCAGATCGCCTGGATAACCGATTTTCCTCTCTCTTCTTTGCTGGATCTATTTAAATGCCTACAGAAATCTTCAGAAAATAAATATATCCTTCTTGTTCTGGAAAGGCTGTAGCAAGGAACAGGAACTTTGGGGTTCTCTGGTAGTAAGTCAGCCAAAATTACCAAACTTTAGGCATTCCAGAAATGCTGAATTGGGGTCAAATTCACCTGTCTCAGTTGGAAAAATACACCAGGGAACTGGAGTCACCAAACTGGTGACACTATGTGTTTTATTGCAGTAGCTTAAGAGTTTGTTTACTCACCCAGAAAGTAGGAGAGCACAATCCAGTTCCCTCTGCCTGAAGACGTACGAATCCACCCTCTGCCATCTCCCAGAACAACGTAACCACCAGGCTGTAAGATCTCCCAGGAAGGGCGCTTCGGCTGTTATTGACACACTCTCTGCATAAACACAGTTTCATGGTGACACAGACCAGATTCCAGTCTATCAGCAGGGCCAGGGCCCTCAACGCCTCAGTCATTCCTTCTTCAACAGCCTTTTTGAAAACTCTTTCATATGGCAGAGATTTCTTCTGCCAAGGCTTTCCAAGACCTCATTCAAGAACTTCATCTTAGGCTGGGCAGTTAAAGCTCTGGTAAAGTTGTAGTAGGCATCAGTCTAAAGCTTTCGGGTGAACACCTCAAAGAAACACTGGGTTAAAAAGGCATTATTGGCCCTGTGCCTTTGTCGTATAGGAATTGAAAAAAAATAAAATATCTTCATTTCTGAGAAGAAAAACTGAAATTCTCTTGTCCTTAACAACCAACCCACACACATATTATCTCAGCTATAACTACAGTGTCTGCAGTCACTCCTCCTGCCCCTTTTATCTTCACGCAGGGGCAATTAACACAATCCAAAACCAAGTTCAAGAAAAAAACCCCAAGAGGGAACAAATACCACGTCCCACTGGGAACACTTACAGCTCCAGCAACACCAACACGGGGACTCCAGCTGGAAAGCTCAGGCTTGTTACCACACAGGCTTTAACAACTGAAGTCACTGGGCAGCAAACGCTACAGTGTCTTTTACTGGGGGGAAAAAGGTAAGACAAATACATTATCTCAACACTAATCAGAAAAGACTTGTTTTGTTCACGAGTTTGTTTATTAAAAAGGTAGTATAAAACACAACCCCTTTAAGAAACAAAATTCAAGACAAATCAAGGGATTCCCAGATGCTGTCACAGGTCTAGATATTATTCAAATATGATTTAAAAAAAAAAAAGTTTGTTTTCTAAAGGATAAATGAAAATGATCAATTTATCATATCGAAAGAAAATAACCTGGCAGAAAAATTCCAAGTCAAGTTATTGAAAAGTTTAATCTAACAATATAGTCATATTACAGAATGAGCAAAAAAACAATTTGCTGCAAAAGATTTCATAATTCTATAAATATTTTACAGAACTTTCAGAGTATCCTGACAGCAAGACTTCAAGCCTTGTATAATGAGCACTAAAATACACACAAGTGAAATCAACACAAATACACAACTTACATAATTCATTTATCATACTGCAGTATGTTTCCTCAAATTCAGAAATAAAAAGAACTTTAAATCCAATCTGTTTGTTTTAAAGAATTTGGTTCGGTTATACAGTTGAAGAATTCAGGGTATGGATACTGATTTTACTGGAAAATTTAAAGGCAAGGTTGAGTTTCCATGAAGCATCCAATACCTTTTAAGTTTTCTTAAGCGAATCAATTAAGTAATTGTCAATAGATTACCCTTAATGGAATAATGTCTAGGACATGTTTTAGCCAAAATGCACTGCATTTAACATACTAATGATTTTAAGTGAATTACAATCCTTATACAAAATGTAAGTTGTACCAGGGACTGAAATTCAATTAAAAAAAGTAATTAAAAAAAGTCAGCAGGAGAAACAGATAAACATTTTGATGCAAAATGAAACTAATTCTCTCTTTACAGCTGTATATGAACGTTCGAGAACCTGCTACAACTTACGGGCCTTTTCTTTGGGGGCTTTTTGTCTCCAGATGTCTACCTTGGCCATGCTCTTCAAACAGTGGCATCTCTGATGAAGGCTCCTAACTCCCTACAATTCCCTGCCGGCAAAGCACTAAACAACATCTGAGTGTAGAGTGTTAAACTACCAATATATCCTGAAGCCAAGCAACTGATTTTATATTGCATGGTTAAGAAAGCAATCTTTGCCAAATTATGCTGAAATACCAGTTAATACTCTTTCCCCGCTGTTATATTTAAGTGGCTTCACATCTATTTGGTTACACTCTTGCAAATTAGCAGAAACAGCTACTTCTCTAGTTCAAAATTGAGCAATGATGATTTATCCACCCATTGTTTCAACCTGCTGCTAGTTGTTGTTTTCACAATATACGGAGGGAAGGAGACAGCTTTTCTTAAAATGAAGCTCTCACCAAAAGCCTGGGGATGAAGGAACATGCGGTACTGGAACGCTGGAATAGAACCTAAGAAAAAGTAGAAACTGAGCAAAAAGTTTTGATTTTGTCACTCCTAATGAGTGAGACAGGTCATCAGAAAGCACTTTATTAATTAGAGACCAAATATAGTCAAAACTGCAGCAGGGTCTTCTTACCTATTTACGATGCTGCTTAGTGAGAAAAAACGTAAGTTTAAAAATCAGCTTCCAATATGTTAAAATTTGGTATTAAACATTACTGCTTTACAGTACAAGAATTTCATCATCATACTTCAAAATAGTAATTTTAACTTCTGTGGAAAATTTTCATTTATGTCCAAATTAATTTATAAAAGTTTGCATCATTTAAAAAAGGAAAACATCAAAAGAATTTGGTCTCAATGAAAATCTGCTGAAAAGAAAGTTACAGCTGCATTAACCTCTCCATAGACTATTAAATGCCTCAACAACTCAATGAATAGTTTATAAAAATATATTTTTACATTTTACTGGGGAACAGAGGTAGACAAAAGGAAAATATCAGTTTGAGTGTAATGTCGCACTTCAGAACAACATATTTGCATGGAAAAAACAGCTTTTATTTTCTTAGGAATCCTAGTTAATAGGAAAGCCAGAAAAGCATTTGGTCTCAGTCTCTGTCGGTGCTCTACTTCACTGTGAAGTCGAGAGGAAAAAGGTGAAAAGATTAATATCACATTTGACTTTTGAAGCAAGCCAATCAAATTCGTACATCAATTGGAGAGAGGAAGGTTACTGCACATAGAATGAGTCTTTATTTTTCAAAGTCGTTTTTCAAACACTAACACTAACCTTATTTTCTTATATCTGATACCATGATAAGGCTTCATAGAACTGTACAATATTTATACATTTGTCCACAGTTTCCCTATATCCTTGCAATTCCACTGTAAAACAGGTGATTTAACTGCGTAGAGTGTTACAGGACTAGGCTCTCTTAAAACAAAAAAAACAATAAAAAGAAAAAGCTAACAAAACACAACAGTCTAGCAAGATCTAAAGCCTGGAGTTTAGAAGCTGGAAGAAAAGGAGCACTGAAAGCAACACCCACCCCACTACACGACACTCTTCATACGCCCAAACCTTCACCCCTCAAAGGTCTGTGGTGCTTATTACCAATAAAAATAACGAAGGCAGAACCAACACAACCTCAAGATACAATCTGAATATTCCACTACGTGCAGCGATGCACCCGGCAGAATTTCAGATTCCCTCAACGCCTTTTTTTGCTGAAACAGACAATTTGCATGCTTGCAAAGATGAGAAAAATGGTCTTTCTTAGCTGGCAATACGGCTCTTGTTGTAATGCACCTCAAAATTGGGAATTTGTCGTGCCAGCTTACAATGAGCCCCCCAGACTTTTAAACCCAGAATTCAAATATCACCGCTGTTTTAAGACCACATATTTTGTCACCAAAAGCCATAATTTGTAACTAAGGGGGCAAGTGTTAACTCAGAAGCTCTGACTGGTGTTAGCTACCCATACATATTGATTATATATTAAAAAAAGCCTTCAACAAGTTTAGAGTACTGTATAGACTTCTGGAAAAAAGCCACAGATGATAATCTCTGAGCACAAAGTTTGAAAACACCGATTCAGAGCTTTCCGAATGCTTCAGGATGGAAATAACAAGAATCAGCATTTATGGTTTCTTGCAATCCACTATGAATTTAAAAAATTCAAAAGATCCTTCTTACAAATGTGCACTAGTAACAACCCACGTAAGCAGCGTGCTATGAATTTAGCACTGATATTTTAATTGCTTAGTGCCTAAGTCTGTATTCTTCAATCCTTAGGTATCAAAATAATGCGATTCGAAATGAGGAATGAAAATGCCCAAAACAGCTCCCCTAAAGTTATTTTTGAAAGCCTGCCACTTATTAAGATATCTAAAGTTAGAATGTCTTCTCAATCCTTGCTTTTGGAAATATTTCTAAGAGGGTTAGCATTTGCTTTTTTCCATAGAAAAGAGTATTATTTGAAAGCGTATTTTCAAGTATTCTAACTTTTGCACAACAAATTGTAGTTCAAGTTGCCAAAAGCCTTGAAATTTTATGAAATATGGGAGATCCTCCACTTCAAAGAGCACGTAAGGCTAAACTAAAATGTTGAAGAGAACTCACCTCATCATCTAACAAAGTTAAATAAAAATGTTTACGCTAATATTAAAGCTATAACTAAACAAAGCAAACACATCAATCAAAAGCCTATTTTGCATACCTAGCGCATACAGACCACGAGAATTTAATTCACTATGGCCCAGAACGTGTGTGCTCATGCATTTCTAGTCTCCTTGACATCATTCCAGCCTCAACAGAAGATCTAAGCCTCAAGAGAAGATCTAAACAGGGGAAGAAAAAAAGAATTTACTGAATGCTGTGATTTAATAATCTACCTTCACTCGGTTCGCCTTATCTTGGCTACAGCAACCTTGTTTGTTCAAGTTTGCAACTTGGTACTGCTCTTATTTTCCACGTAAAGCACAGCAATATATCCAATGCCTTCACCTTTTATGCATCACGGCATCTATTCCATAAAATGAATCAAAGTACTCAGGACAAGAACCATTTTAAGGATGAGATACCAGGTTTGAAAGGGTACAGGAAAATTAACAGGGAAATCCACAAATCCTGTAATAGCTTTGCATTATTTAAGTTACGTATAGTTACAGAAACTTAAGGGTTGGAACGTATTTCACACTTACATAATGAAACACTGACACACAGAGTTAGAACAAAAGAAGCCTGATGGGTTTTACTGCATTCTTGGCAACTTGAGTTACTTTACCTGAACAGCCAATTAATACAAACTTTTAGATTCTCATTAAATACTGCTTTTAATGAAAACTTCAAAGCACACAGTTGATGACATTCTAATATGCATATATTCATATGAACATTGTCTGCAGTCACCCTGAAGAAAGGGATCAACTCAAACATCACCCTAAAACCCATGCTTTCGTAAAGCATCAAAGGTGTTATGTATCTGCTTCCCCATCGCTGCCTGCAAGGCTGCTGTCTGTAGATGGAGCACCATCTTCATTAACGCCCTCACCATTATTCTCCCTCTTATGGGCTTCATCATTTACATCCTTAGAGGTGTCATTAACGTTGGCAGGTTGTCTGCCTTCAGGCAGTTTAACGCTACTTGTTGCGGCATCCGAATCCGATGTCGGTTGCTGCTCCTTTGCATCAGGATCCTCTAGAAACGATCCCCACACCTTGAGCCTTTCTTCCCTTTCTCTTGCAGTCTCCTCCACCTATTAAAGATACATTTATACACATCATTACAGTCATACTGGAAAAAATGAGTATTTGGACAGATAGAACCATACAAATGTTTATATTGCAGTAATATCTCAAGACTTCAACAGGCCCTGTTGAGTGTGGACTAATGATCTGTACATCCAGTGACTAATCCTCTAAGTTGACAACTCCAACACACAATTTTTAACATCCTTTTTAACAAGCAGGTCCTTTTCATTTTTGCTAAATTGAATAATTAAGTATGATATCTTTTTTTTTTTTTTTTGAAACATCCTTGCAGTTTTTGACAAGAAGCAAGATGGGGCGGGGGCGGGAAGGGGATGGGAAGACCAAGCATTTCTCAAATTAAAACAGATTTTCAGTTTGGAAGAAACATTTGATGAAACAGACCATGAAAGGCTACCTGATAATCGGTGACTCCATCCCACGTTTCAGCACTGAGCTGGCGGCCACCAAACCACCTCCCATTTAGAGTTAGTTTGCAAAGATCAGCTTCTGTTGCTTCTTTAAATGACACAGAAGCCACACCATCAGGATGTCGCTGTAAGGAGAGACAGCTTATGCTTAATAGTTTTCTAAATAGTGTATTTATTCCACCATCTTTTAGACTGTCTTACAAAAATCCATCAGGATATAGCTCCATCCTGATCATACACAATTGTGGTTTGAAAAATTCAATTTGCAAAGTTACACATTTTGTTCTACTGGTACACGGAACAGACTTTTTGAACACAGAAAACAAATGTTTCAGCTAGTTTAGCTATAAATAAATGTGTTTATAAACTTTCAAACTTGTGATGTGTATCTAAGTTATTAGGAAGAGTTAAGAGTTTGCCTTTGCATAGACTGAAGTAGATAGGGGCTTATAAATTAATTCCCAAACCAGCTAATTTTAAAATAGTGGAAGATTAAGTCAAGTTTCCATAAAATAAACACACAAACCCAAATAAACGCTCCACTCATGTTTAAAGAATCCTAAATGTTTTGCCTATTTACACATTACATCAATTCTGCCAACACAACCTGTACAGAATACCTACATCAAATATGAGAACCTTCTTTACTTGACCAAACTTTTCACACTCCGTCCGCAGATCTTCTCTGATCTCATTTAGCACTAAGGGATCCTCCTGCAACCCAATCACACAGATTAGATTAAACAGAAGCACTTTCTTCTCAGCTTTGTTTTTGCCCATTTACCAGTGGAACACATCTGCCAATGTATTAAAAGTTCATAAATTAAGTGTTGTTACGCTGCACTTTCAAAGCCACTTAGGAGCTGACAGACAGCCTTTATTTGAATTTAATAAATACTTTATTAATAAGGCTTTTGTGCTGGCTGCTCCATTCTAAAAGTTACTGCCCACTCCTCTTTCTATCCCAAAAAGGAACACAGTGAAAAAGGCCAATTTGAAAAATATGTAACTTTGTCTTGTTTTCTTTGGAAATAGATGAACGAATTTTAAACAGATGCTTGGCACAGGAAAAAAAACATCCTACTCAAATATTCTCATCTACCCACAATTTTGCTAAGACAAAAGCTCAGACAATGCTACTGATAACAGCACAATCTACAGTAGCCAACTGCACACACCTACCTCAAAGTCCTTTGGGTGAAACATATTCCTGATAATAACGATGCGCTCATGTCGCATTCGAGTTGCGCCGTCTTTCTTCTCAGGCCTCCAATCCAGCTGTCTAATGAAATGAAGCAACAGTAAGAAGATATTGTTGCGGCTCTCTTCAGTTTCTACAAGTATTTGTTGAAAAAAAATCATTAATTTGGCATTTCTTGCAATACATCAACTAAAACACGTATTTTGACACAAAGACTTAAGTTACTCTTCTAAAAAA